AGATGTAGTTTGTAATAGCTAGACATTGTGAAGATGTAGTTTGTAATAGCTTGACATTGTGAAGATGTAGTTTGTAATAGCTTGACATTGTGAAGATGTAGTTTGTAATAGCTTGACATTGTGAAGATGTAGTTGGTAATAGCTTGACATTGTGAAGATGAAGTTTGTAATAGCTTGACATTGTGAAGATGAAGTCTGCAATAGCTTGACATTGTGAAGATGGAGTTAGTAATAGCTTGACATTGTGAAGATGAAGTTTGTAATAGCTTGACATTGTGAAGATGTAGTTTGTAATAGCTTGACATTGTGAAGATGTAGTTTGTAATAGCTTGACATTGTGAAGATGTAGTTGGTAATAGCTTGACATTGTGAAGATGTAGTTTGTAATAACTTGACATTGTAAAGATGAGATGAAGTTTGTAATAGCTTGACATTGTGAAGATGTAGTTTGTAATAGCTAGACATTGTGAAGATGTAGTTTGTAATAGCTTGACATTGTGAAGATGTAGTTTGTAATAGCTTGACATTGTGAAGATGTAGTTGGTAATAGCTTGACATTGTGAAGATGAAGTTTGTAATAGCTTGACATTGTGAAGATGTGATACAAGAAAGGTGACTATTGTAGTCAAGGTATAAGAAACAGTAATAGCTTGACATTGTGAAGATGTGATACAAGAAAGGTGACTATTGTAGTCAAGGTATAAGAGACAGTTAGTAATAGCTTGACATTGTGAAGATGTGATACATACCAACTTTTTGTCTGAGAGGATGGTAAACATGAATATCCATCGGTCTATGAGTTATATTCCGTAAAATCGTATGATTGGCTCCGGTATATTTATTGGCCTTCTCAATCGAAAGATGATTCCAGTCTGTCCAGTACATCCAGTCCTCGAACACCGTAATCGCGAAGGGATGAGGAACACCTTGTAATACAGTGTGTCTTCCACTTCCATCAATGTTGATATATCTACAATGAAATGCAAATTAATGGTTAGTCAAGGGACCTTCAGTTTAGTTACCAAGTGTATCTCACTGAGCCACCGCGGCTCCATGTCACATCTGAACAACAAGACGCTTTTTCCAAATCAGCCCCTCTTACCTACATTACCGACAGGAAACTGGGTTGAAAAATCTCAACCTATGCTGGGATCGAACCCTGGACCTTCAGGTTAGCGGGCAAGCGTCTAACTCACTGACAGGGGGAAACCAGGTTGAAAAATCTGAAGGTATTATCTCAACCTATGTCAGGATTGAACTCTGGATTAGATTAACGAGCAAGCGTCTAACTCACTGAGCCACCACGGCTCCATGATCAATAAGCATAAACCACACATCTTATTTCCGTATAAAATTCTACGTACTCAATAATATCTAAATGTGCATCCGCCCACCAGAGTCTTCCCGTGTCGTAATCTATCGTCAAGGCGTTAGGCCAGCCCATTTTATTGGTGACGAAATCAACTGTAGCGTTGGATCCATCCATTCCTACACGACCAATCGAAGATTTTACACCCCAATCTGTCCAATAGATATACCTAAAATAAAATAACGCACAAGTTTTAAAATATATTGAGGGTAAGTAGGAGTGAGCACTATAGTCTTCAAAAGTCATATGCAGTGTACAATGAGGGAAACTTGCCTACTCTCTTTTTGATTTTCGACTATCCAAGGATCTTAAACGTGCAAATAAAAAACCTGTACAAGCAAGACAATTCCGTTAATCAAAATCTCGTCCAAAGATTGACAAAATGGAGAGTAAAAGTTGTATAGTAGTGGACTCCTCTAAAGAGAAGTATCATCAGGTGTTTTGAAAAGAGTAAGAATGGTCTGCTTCACATATGACATACTTTGTTTTCGTTCTTTTTGGTATCGCAGAAATTGTGCTGAAAGTACTGGCTATCACAGCGCCTATTGTCATTTCTGTCTTTTCGGTACCGTTGTTGGCAGCCAATGGGAGAGCTTTATTTGTGGGCAATGGATTGTTTCCCCGTCTCTGCGCTAGTTTTTTCCTCGAACATGAAGCCATTTTGACTATTTGAGGGTTAGGTAGAGATGATTTGTGTTGTATCGTCACGGTGAAAATGGCCACGGACAAAAGTAAAACGAACCTACAAGCAATTGCAGACGATACACATTAGAAGGTAGAAATACTCACCCATGTACTGGATCAACAACTATAGCTCTAGGTCGTCTCATCTGAGATTTTAATAAAGTACATCTATTAGTTCCGTTTAATTCTGCTACATTCAGTGAGGATTTTCTACCATCAACCCAATACAACTTCCTAAAATACAGAAAATATTCTTAAAGAGATTGTAAAGAAATGAAATGATATGAATGGAGTCCTACTTTTCTGCACCATGTGGGCTAATGAAGACAGGCAACATCATGCAGTGTTCAATGAGGAAAATTTTTGCCAGGACAGAGGCATTAGTCTGCTCTTTTTCAATTTCCAACTGTCGAGGGATCTTTAATGTGCAATGCCTGTAGCCCACGGGGCCTCGGTTTATTGTCCCATCTGAACAACTAGACACTTTTTCTATGTCAGGCCCTCTTACCTACCTCACTGACAAGGGGAAACTGGGTTGAAAAATCTGAAAGTTCTATCTCTCTGGGATTGAACCCTGGACCTTCAGGTTAGCAAGCAAGCATCTAACTCACTGACAGGGGGAAACTGGGTTGAAAAATCTGAAGGTATTATCTCGACCTATGCTGGGATTGAACCTCACATGGATGACAGAAGCATTTCTTTTCAAAAAAAAAATTGTAAGCCTACCTTCCAATCCAGTCGACCGATAATCCCTCGGCACTGGGAACGTTATGTTGAATAATGACTTCCTGTCCGGTACCATTTAGATAAATACGGTAAATCTTATGAGCCTTGACATCCGTAAAATACAAACGATCTTCTTTAACGTCAAAATCTAGAGCAACCACATTGTCAAACCCTTGGGCGACTCTTCTGTAGTTCTGACCGTCTGTTGATAGTTCTCTAACATAGTAACGATTAGCGAATACTAGCCACGGTTTAATATCTGAAACATGGTATAAATGCATTAAAGGCCTTATTCTGGAAAACTTAACTGAAAGGGACAGATGCGCCATTTTCAAGGGGGTTTGATTTGAGTCTTGAATATCAAGTCTTCAGAAATACTAGAAATGTACGAAAATCACAAAATTCCTTTAAAAATATCTCAAACTAGAAATTTCACTTTCTATTTCTATAGATGTCTTTTCTATATATCAGAGTGTCTCAAGAAAAGACGAGTCGTCATTTTAACATTCAAACACGGATAATTCTGGACACATAAAGATAAGAAAGCAAACATCTAATTCAACTTATCACCATGGCAACAAGGGAGACAACCAAACAAACGATACTTAGTGTCCATCTTATATGAAATACCGTCTGCTTGCAGAATCACCATGGCAACAGTGGGAAACAGAATAAATGGCATTGTACTCAAGACCTCCTATAGCAACCAAATCCCCATGGAAACCGATTTGAAAAAATGCAAAACTTACTGTCTATTTTTTTTACAAGAAATGCCGCCTGCTACAATTTTATCTCCATGGCAACATAATTTATGCAAAACCAAACAATATTTACTTAGGCAACATGGAGATACAGTACAGCTAGCAGAGTAACCATGGCAACAAGGGAGAGAAATAAAAAATCCAATACTTACTGTCTATCTTCTTGCAAGAAATACCGTCTGCTTGTCGTTGGTAACCTTCTGTACATTTACATTTGTAACTTCCTTCCGTATTCTCGCAGATCTGACTACAAGCCCCTGGCACGTCTGTACATTCGTTGATATCTTGACACGCCTTTCTGTCCGACATCAATCGATAGCCTGTGTGACATTCACAGTGAAAGCTCGTTAATGTATCGACGCATTCGTGTTCACATTGGTTAATCTCCGTCTTTTCACATTCGTCAATATCTACGAACAAAAAATAGATCGTAAGTAACATTTGGATAAAGAGTTAAGAAAATTACATGATGAAAGACTTTTTATGTGTACAGCCTGTAGCACACGGAGCCTTGGTTTATTGTCCCATCTGAACAACTGGACACTTTTTCCGACCAGCATCACTGACAGGGGGAAACCGGGTTGAAATATCTCGACCTATGCTAGGATTGAACCCTGGACCTTCAGGTCAGCAAGAAAGCATCTAACTCACTGAGCCACCACCGCTCCCGTTGACAGAAGTATAGAGTTGACCCAATGCAATCTTTCGTAACCACCAACCGGGGAAGGATTCTACAACAGCGTTAAATTACAAACTTACGGCAATGTTTTTCATCAGATTCGTCCGAACAATCAGGGTTTTTGTTGCAGACGACATTATAAGATACACAATCTCCACTGTCACAACGAAACTCATTTCCGGCACACGTTGGTTCTGGTGTTACTAAAAATAGAAACCAAATTCTTAGTCTAATCAAAATTAGATCCAACTTTCGTTTCATTTTTTATTATCTTTTATTTTTAATATAGCCACTTCAGTTAGGGTCTAACGACAGCCCTCTTGAACGTTCGTCAAATTGACCTTTTGACCTTCCCCTGCTTTAACCAATCAAATTTACGCTTTCTCCAGTGTTGGCGTTTTGTGATGAGATCAAATGGTGTATTTTCAGGAGGAATAGACTAGTTTATCAAACCCATTGAAAGTAAAAATAGAAAACACGCCTTTTCATTTTTTTTCGAATTGACTCACTTAAATTTGATTGGTTAAAGCCACAACAGTTGTCCCCCCATAGAGTCAGTCTGTCCGCTTATTTGTACCCCCAGTCTCAGGAGGCTCCATGAGAGGCTTGTGACTATGACACCTCCACAGAGTTGCCACAATTCCAATTCAGCCTCGACAGTTGTCCCCCCATAGAGTCAGTCTGCCCAATATTTGTATCCCCAGTCTAGAGAGTCTGTCAGTCTGTGCCCTATTTGTATCCCCAGTCTAGAGAGTCTGTCAGTCTGAGCCCTATTTGTATCCCTAGTCTAGAGAGTGTCAGTCTGTGCCCTATTTGTATCCCCTAGTCTAGAGAGTCTGTCAGTCTGCGCTCTATTTGTACCCCTAGTCTAGAGAAGCTGTCAGTCTGAGCCCTATTTGTACCCCTAGTCTCGGGAGGCTGTCAATCTGTGCCCTATTGTACCCCTAGTCTAGAGAAGCTGTCAGTCTGAGCCTTATTTGTATCCCCAG